GCTCCATGATTTTGGGAGGCCGGTGGCGGTTGTTCCTCTCCTGCTCCTTGGCCAGCTCCTTCTCCATCAGGTAAATGTCACTGCAGGGGGAGACGGAGGGTGACAGCCCCAGGAGGGAGCACTGGGACACCCAATGGGGGTGCTTGAGCTGGGTGCGCCATGGAAAACACGAGGGAGCAAGGAGGGATGGGAAGAGGGAAGGGAAAGGACTGGAAGGACAGAGCATGGTTCTGGCCGGCCACACCAGCATCGCCATGTCCGCCCCCAGGGAGATGTGGGGTCAGGACTCCCCTGCAAGACCCCTCCCCGGGAAGCAAAGCATTTCCATTTCAGCCCAGGCACCCCACCACCCCCTCGGGGGCAGGTGGGCTCAAATGGTCTCAAATGATCCTTTGAGTTCGGACTCAGCCAGAAAACTCCAGACCCAAAACCTTGCACGGCTTTATTTTTCTCCTTATCATAGAAACATAGATTCATTAAGGTTGGAAAAGACCTCTAAGATCATCGAGTCCAACCGTCAACCCAACACCCCCATGCCCACTAAACCATGTCCCTAAGCGCCTCATCTACACGTCTTTTAAATACTTCCAGGGATGGTGACTCCACCACTTCCCTGGGCAGCCTGTTCCAAGGCCTGACCACTCTTGCAGTAAAGAAATTTTTCCTAATGTCCAGTCTAAACCTCCCTTGGCACAACTTGAGGCCATTTCCTCTCGTCCTATCGCTGGTTACTTGGGAGAAGAGACCAACCCCCACCTCGCTACAACCTCCTTTCAGGTAGTTGTAGAGCGCGATGAGGTCTCCCCTCAGCCTCCTCTTCTCCAGGCTGAACAGCCCCAGTTCCCTCAGCCGCTCTTCATAAGAGTTCCTTCACCCGCTCGCCCACCCCTCCATCAAACCATGGACCCCCCAGCCCACCATCAGTCCCCCGCCTCCCCGCTCACCTCAAGCTGCAAACCAAGTCCTTGAACTTGGGCCTTTCGCTGGGGTCGTAGTCCCAGCAGCGCGTCATGAGGGTGTAGAGGATGGGGGGACAGAGGTCGGGCTTGGGCAGGCGGTCGCCCCTCTCCAGCACCCCGATCACGTCCTTGTTCTCCAGCCAGAAGAAGGGCTGCTTGCCGTAGCTCAGGATCTCCCACATGCACACGGCTGTGGGAGCAATGTGAGCAACCTCAACTTGATGCTAGAGCTGGGGGACCGGCTCCTCGCTTGGGTTTTTGGGGACCTAGTGACAGTGCCACGCTTTGCCGTGTGACACCAGGATGGGCTGACAGGGAGGGAGATGGATATTTGCAGGGGGTAGAGTTTAACTCAGCCCCTTGAATGTCCCGAATTCACTGGAGGAGGAGGAAGCACTTCATGATGGTTGAATTGCAAGAACCTCTGCCCCAGGAGCCCTTTCCCCAAGGGCAAGGCCAGGATAACCCTTCTGCTCCAGAGCAGGATTTGTCCCTGTGCATTAAGATGACGCCACGGGAGGCGGACAATGCCCAGGACCTTGCTCCGGCCCCGTCCCACCACGCACCGAACATCCAGACGTCGCTGGCCGTCGTGAAGCGGCGGAAGTTGATGGACTCGGGTGACATCCACTTGATGGGGAGACGGGTGACAGATGCTGGAGGGAGAGACAGACGGTGGCTGCGGGGGGGGATGGAGCAGCCCCAGCGCAGACAGGGCAGGGCAGCGAGGTCTCACCGCGGTCTCTGCCCCAGCCCCTTCCCACCACCCTGTCCTGCTATTGCAGGGAGCCCCACTGCGTGCTGGCTCTGCCGACTGGAGAAACCCCTGCTCCAACCTCACGGGGATAGAG